AAGGTATTCAATCATATTAAAAAAAAGAGAAAAGTACTAAAAAAATGAAAAATTGACGAAGAGGTTTTTTTTTTCTTCCTCATTACCAGTTATCATTAATTACCTTTGCTTATAATGAGATGCTAATCGATAATCGTTATACTGTATCAAATGTATAAAATTAATCTTTTTTTTTCTACTAATTAAAAAAAAAGGAAGGATAGAATAAATCTTAAAATAATAATAATAATAATATGTTAAACCAATAAATAATATCGAATCATTTTTAATATATTATTATGTTTATGGTAATATTTGAATATAATACATTATGGGAATATTTGCATAATTTTAATTTTTAATTTAAATCTTTTATTCGATATTAAAATTAAAATGTTATATTAGTAAGGATGAATTGATCAGTTTCAATCAGTCGTTTGATTTGATATTTTGATTTGGTATGATTTAATTTAGTTATATTGTTTTCTGTATCAATCGTCCAACTATTATCACATTAAAATACATATACGCACATATACACATACATCACATACATAAACAAATACACATACATACACACATACACATACACACACACACACATATATATACATATAAGTACGTATATCGACACGCACAAACATATACACACATATATACACACACGCATATACACATATACATACACACACATATACGGACATACATACACGTATACTCACAGACAAATACATATATACATATACATACACATATACATATACATATATACACATATATACACATACACACATATACATACACACATACATGCACACATACATGCACATATCCACATATACAAATATACATACATACACGTACACACATACACCACACATACTTATACATACAAATACAGACACATATACATATATATACATACATATACATACAAACACATATACACACATGTACATACATACACATATACACACATATACATACATACACATATACATACATACACTTTTTTAAATTAAAAAAAAAATTACCCATATACCTGAAAATTACACACATATCTTCTTTTTTTTTTAAATTACATACATATACATACCTACACAGATATGCACATATAAATATGGAAACAAATATTTCAAAAATTAAAATAAAAAAAAAGTCCGTAAAAATTTTCTACCATTTGAAAAAAAAAAAAAAAAGACAATAGAAAATGTTACACACATTTGTTGCAATATTTCATGTTTCTTACAATGTAAAAATCAATGATTTATATTATAAGAAATATTTAATTACTTATTAAATGAAATTTTAATTTTAAATGCTATTAAATTATAATTTAATATCATATGGAGAGCTTTTACAATATTTTCATAATTGTTATCTAATTATTAAATAAATTTTTTCTCTTATTTCCTCTTTTTTATCTTTATCAGAAAAAAAAAAAAGTGATAAATTGTCCGTCAACGATATTAAATTTCAAAATGTCATTAATAAAAAACTTGTCTGCTATCATTAATTGATAGAAAAACTTCTTTAACGATAACTGTAATTTTATTTCACGAATTCATTTATTTTCATGATAAAATGAATTCTTCAATTCATTTTAATGAAATTGTTTACATCTATTTATTTACCGATCTATCTATCTATCGAATCAATCGATCTATCTATCGATCGATCTATCTATCCATCTATCCATCTATCTATCAATGCTTATTTAATTATTTATCACGAAATTTCTCCAATATTTATCCATTCCATCATTTCATATATATAAAAAAAGAAATGAAAAATAAAAACAAATGAAATTTCAAACAAAAAACGAAAAGTTTTTGTTAATTTAAAAAAAAAAGAGCGTAATAAAATGAAATAATTGTTTGAATTATAAAAAAGAAAAGATTGTTAGAGCATTATTTGTTAGGTGAAGTGAAAGAAAAAGAAAAAGAAGAAGGAGAAAAATAATTTAATTAATTTTCATTTCGAGCACCTGTCATCAGGTATGATTCGTGTGATAGAACGAAAAGAATAACGCGATCGGTTAACAAAACATTTATGCACCTTACTTGTTCTTATCATTTCTTTCCTATCGCAATTTTGATCATTCCTCAGACTATTCCACTCAATCTTTTTAATTTGTATGTGTATGTGTATGTATGTGTGTATGTGTATGGTACATATATATATATATATATATATATATATATATATATATATATATATATATATATATATATATATA